AGACACGTCAGGCGAGGGGCCCCGGGCCGGCTGTGGAGAGGAAGGAGAGAGGAGGAAGGTGGTAGTCCTAGCCGCCTGTGGAGAGGGAACAATGGTTTACTGTGATGGACCCCAGAAGACAATGATGGATGTCGACCTGCTGCCAGGGGCCCTTAATCCCTGTGAGAACCCCCAGCCTACTGTAAGGGAACCCGGACTGAGAGAACACATAAACCTGCCAGAAGGAACCCAAGGAGCCCGACCCATCTGAGAGAGGCACAGATGGCTTATTGCTGAGGGGCCTCAGCCCTTGCTGGGGAATCCTATTGCTCCTGGAGTCCTGATTTATTGCTGGAGCGGATGATCTATTACTGGGGAGCCCCATTACTCCTGGGACTCAAACCTAACTACTGAAGTGGGCCCATTGCCACCCCTGGCGGTAGGGGAGGCCTACAAAATTGTTCCAAAGATTTTATGATTTGACTTTTGTCTCTCCCTAGGCTAAATGAATGCATTTACTTTTTGATGTCTCAATTGCATTTTTTTATCTGATAATGATTTTTTTTTGTGGTTTAGCTAGCGGCAACTAATCGTGTACAGTACATCATTTCGTATTCAGTTACGAAATATTCAACCTACGAATTTTTTTTTATAATCTTGACCACTACTTACTATGGTGGTCGTGTGAGGCAACCTCCTCCTATCTGTACGATAACCAGATAAATTTTCCCAGTCACAGTTAGGGTGTGTCCCGAGGCAGCCAGTTTAAGACTCTAAATCACACTTTGGCTGCGTTTAATGAGCCCAAATTCCTCCACTCCTCATCTATGTTTTGTCGCAAGGATGTTTTTTTTATGGGTGTGGCCTCATTCAACCGGCCACCCTTTTTTTGACGACATATCAAGACATTACGTATATTCCCAGGCATCGATGAAAGATTAAGATATTACAAGAAAAATTTTTATTCGAAAATAATTTATTCTGGCAGTAAAATTCAACGTGGAAAACCAATAGAAGGTTTGTGCTTATAAGTGTCGTCTCCATAGCGATAAGCTGAGAAAGTGTAAGGTCGCAACCAGATATAACACAGGGTACGAGCAGCCGACCTCCAAACAGATACCCGAGATGTTTTTTTTTTAATATTTGAGGAAAGACACATACACATACTAACACATACATGAATGGGACACATACTAACACATACATGAATGGGAATAACATACAGTAACTCAGTATTGGAGAGCGAAAACGAATATTATCACGATAATTTATTGAAATAGGAATATAAATACCTTTAGAAACATCTGTGAATAGTTTGGTGATTAATTCGTAAATTAAAATAACCTTAACAATCGAAAAAATACGTCAAACATTATATTTATTCAGTGTGGGACTTGAGTGCCATGCTATTGAAAAGGTATTTACATGGAAACTTTTCTCAGTAAGAGACTATTTCCATCTCAGTCACTCGGTAATTAGCATGGAAAAATATCTAAAACATTATTTACGGGACTTAGAAAAATTATCTTTATTCTTTTGTACCAAGTCTCTCAAAAGGCAGACGACAGCGGTCATTTCTGAAGACCTGGCCTCCAATCCTACTCAAACGCTTCAAAGGGCTGGAGGAAGCTTGGATACTCTGACAGTGCTTTATGGGTGACGGCGGGCGGGGGAGGGGAGAGGAGTGGGGTAAGGTAGGCTTTTCCTCACTTATCTACCAATAGTTTAGCAGCAAATGACAATATCAAAGCTACTGATGAAGACGGAGATTATAGTAACGACGAAGATCTTACAGCGGTAGAAACATTTGGTTAGTCAAGATAATGAGACTTACCTTGAAGTGAGGGTGATGAGGTATTAAGTGACCAGGTGTAATGAGTGTTAGGGTGAGTGGTGTCGAGGTACTAACTAACCGGAGTAATGAGTGTTAGGATGAGTGGGTCATGAGACGGGTGGGAAGAACCGTCACCTAGTTCACTCATTATTACCCAAAAAAAAGTTGAGGACAAGGTGTTCTGCTCCAGAGCTTGTCTAGTCGTACCATAAAGGGCCAACTAAAAACCATTGAACAACTATCACCAGCTGTCTCACTTATGTTAATGACGATGATGCTGAATGGAGGCTTAAGGTCCTCTGTAACACTATAAGAAATGGACTAATAATTCTTAACTTGTTTACATGAAGAAACAAAAGCCAACACAAGGTTGAGACATGATCTATCCACTTAAATACTTGAGCATAAAGAGATAAAGAATCAATCGCCATTATAATTTTCTTCTCCTACATCAAACACAATAATAAAATTTACCCAGAGTACATATTAACCTAACAAGTATTAACTATATCTTCAATGTCAATGTCATCTTTAATCGTGAAGTAGGTTAACATGACTAAGCAGACACTAGGTATTCATTCATGCAACTATCGTGGACAAAAGTTCGCTCCCTCCAAAACTGAAGCAGTATCGACCCCGCACGAGACAAAAACATCACACCCGCACACACAGTCAGGGTAAGTTCAGACTATTCCTAGGGACTCAGTTCAACCACAGGAGCGAACTTTTAACCACTATAGTACCTTCTGTTATTTCATGTAAAGAAAATTAAAATGACCAACCTACCTGTTTTGGAGTCATTACTGCCGTCCAGATTGATGAAAATCTGAATATAATATGGACCTCAACTAAGCCTTCGTCCAGATTGAGATTGCTTAACGAAAGAGAAGGTGGCAGGTGTTAAACGGCGTTGTTTAAGTTAGACTCGAACGTTTTGGAGAGGAATACTGACTGACTGACCGGAGGGAACACACCCCTTCCCCCCTCTCTCTAACTCATCCTCTCCCACCCTTCCCTCCCCCACAACCCGCTCACGCTGTTGCACTCCATTATCGCTAACAAGCACTCGTCACTAACTCAGCCTTGTTATAACTATACCATACCATATCAAGGCTACACTATGCCATACAAACATACACGCACGACCACCGAACCTCTCCCCCTTGAGCTACGACCGACCTAAAAGCAAAAAGCAAAAACGGAATAGATTAATATCGGAGCAGAAGCTTAAAGACAGAAAAGACTGTTGAGCTGCTTGTAGGAGGAGATTGTGAGGATTATATCAGGAGTTGACGATGTTGAGGAGCTGGGGATGAGGAACAAAGGTGTGGAGAAGGATGGATACACATACATACACATACACAAACTTACGGACCCACAGCCCCCCACCCCTGCAAGCTTCCCTCCACACCTCCCACTATCTCATCGTGAAACTCATCTGACATCCCTGCTGACTGCGGACCCAAACGCTAATGACCATTTTTCACCTGTGTCGGGAATCTCATCTCCAGTGGCAGCCTGGAGGTCCTTGTGTGGGGGAGAGGGAGAGAGGGGGCAAGAGGGAGAGGGAGATATAGTAAAATAGGATAAAATAATGAAAACCCAAGAACGATGAAGGTTTAGAAAAATAATATATAAATCTATATCATAAAACAAAAAAATAATTTAGCGTGTATCTCGTCTTGTCTATAAATATTCATACTAAAAAAAAAAAGTTAACCCAGGACAGTTCTTATTGATCACCATTAAAAAGTCAAAGAAAAATACCCAGTCGAAAGATATAATTTCTTTTGAATAGAAGTTTTACACTAGCTGAATGACCTCTGACCTTTAACAATCAAAATTACAATAAGTCTTAAGGTAAATAGCTAAGTAAATATCCTATGCTACTGGGAGAGACACTGACGTCTACAACCTGGCAAGAAAAACAACAAAACGAAATCTCATTGAAACGTAGAAGAAGGCGCCAAAAGTAAAGACACAGTCTATTTTTCTATCAGTAATATTATCCAAGGTTTTGAAAAGAATTCGTCTTAAGTAACTTCAATTTATTACAATATAAACAGGATATCACCAAATTTAGACCCCGGACACTGCCATACTATACAAGCCCAGACCCCGGACACTGCCATAATTACAAGCCCCAGACCCCGACACTGCCATACCATACAAGCCCCAGGACCCCAGACACGTTACATATACAAGCCCCAGACCCCTGACACTGCCATATTATACAAGCCCCAGACCCCAGACACTGCCATACTATACAAGCCCCCAGACCCCGGATACCGCCATACTATAAGGCCCCAGACCCCAGACACTACCATACTCATACAAGCCCCAGACCCCGGACACTGCTATACTATACAAGCCCCAGACCCCACACTGCTATACTATACATAAGCCCCAGACCCCAGACACTGCCATACTATACAAGCCCCAGACCCTGACACTGCTATACTATACAAGCCCTAGACCCCAGACACTGCTATACTATAAGTTCCCCAGGACCCCAGACACTGCCATACTATACAAGCCCCAGACCCTGACACTGCCATACTATACAAAGCCCCAGACCTGACACTGCCATATACTATACAAGCCCCAGACCCCAGACACTGCTACATATACTATACAAGCCCTAGACCCTGGACACTGCCATACTATACAAGCCCCAGACCCCCAGACACTGCCATACTTCATATGTAAGCCCCAAACCCTGGACACTGCTATACTATACAAGTTCCCAGACCCCAGACACTACCATATACTATACAAGCCCCAGACCCGGACACTGCCATACTATACAAGCCTCCCAGACCCCGGACACTGCTATACCATACAAGCCCCAGGACCCCAGACACTGCCATATACTTATACAAGCCCTAGACCCCGGACACTGCCATACTATACAAGCCCCAGACCCCAGACACACACTGCCATACTATACAAGCCCCAGACCCCAGACACTGCCATACTATACAAGCCCCAGACCCTGTGACACTGCTATACTATACAAGCCCCAGACCCCCGGACACTGCCATACTATATGCTTCTCCCAGACCCCAGACACTACCATACTATATACAAGCCCCAGACCCTGGACACTGCCATACTATAAGCAAGCCCCAGACCCCAGACACTACCATATACTATACAAGCCCCAGACCCCGGACACTGCCATACCATGCTGCCCCAGACCCCGGACACTGCCATACTATACAAGCCCCAGACCCCTGACACTGCCATACCATACAAGCCCCAGGACCCAGACACTGCCATACTATACAAGCCCCAGACCCTAGACACTGCCATACTATACAAGCCCCAGACCCCTGGACACCGCTATACTATACAAGCCCCAGACCCCAGACATCGCTATACCATATACAAGCCCCAGACCCCAGACACTACCATACTATACAAGCCCCAGACCCCTGGACACTGCCATACTATACAAGCCCCAGACCCCAGACACTACCATACTATACAAGCCCCAGACCCCGGACACTGCCATACTATACAAGCCCCAGACCCTGGACACTGCCACATAATTATACAAGCCCCAGACCCCAGACACTGCCATACTATATACAAGCCCCAGACCCCTGACACTGCCATATCACTATACAAGCCCCAGACCCCAGACACTGCCATACTATACAAGCCCTGAGACCCCAGACACTGCCATACTATACAAGCCCCAGACCCTGACACTGCCATACTATACAAGCCCCAGGACCCCAGACACTGCCATACCATACAAGCCCCAGACCCCTGACACTGCCATACTATACAAGCCCCAGACCCCAGAGACACGCCATACCGAGGCAAGCCCCAGGACCCCAGACACTGCCATACTATACAAGCCCCAGACCCCGGACACTGCTATACTATACAAGCCCCAGACCCCAGACACTGCCATACTATACAAGCCCCAGACCCCAGACACTGCCATACTATACAAGCCCCAGGACCCCAGACACTGCCATACTATACAAGCCCCAGACCCCGGACACTGCCATACTATACAAGCCCCAGACCCCAGACACTGCCATACTATACAATCCCCAGACCCCAGACACTGCCATACTATACAATCCCCAGACCCCAGACACTGCCACACTATACAATCCCCAGACCCCAGACACTGCCATATCATAATACAACCGCCCATTTTCTTTGCGTATGAATAATTTGTTGCGTATGAATTCCTCACGATAAATGAATAAATACATAAATAAATAATAACAAAAGATAAGACATGGATTTGTTGTGATGAGAGAAGTGCCGTGACGTATTTTGCAGAAAGTGAAGGAAATGAAACAGGAAGAGAAACTGTATATGAAAAGATATAACTAATAACAGGATATAAACGTCATGTAGGAGGAGGTTGTGAGAGACTTAATAAATACCTCTATTGTTTATAAATGTCTCTAAAGCACTTAAGTCTTAATAAGTCAATATACTAAACAATGAACTTTTATGGTAAGCTCTTCTTCGTATTTCACAAAGTATATTGATGCTTTAATGTATTACTAAGCTTCAATAATTTAGGTCTTTAAGCATTTCTAGAACAGTAAATAAACTAGTCATCAACCTTTAAAATATAGAGAGAAATAACAGACAGACAGACAGACTAAGGCATACCAAACGTTTCATTCCTCAGGAGTAATAAGATGGTGGTACTGTATAGGCTCCCAATGCTATATGTGACGCGGTGCTCTGGTAATATTCGTCTCGGGTTGAGGTTATAGAAAATTAACGGGGTGTGAAGTGTGGAGGAAATATAAATAACAGCAATAGTGTTTTAAAGAATGACCAATGAAACGAAAACTATGACCCAAATGTTTTTTTTTATAATATTCATTTTTTTCTTGAGGTTAAAAAAATACTTTAATTACCGACAAACTTCAACGATATTCTACATCTACTAAATAATTCCTGAACTTTTAAATATAATCGTTTTAGCGTCACATAAACTCAGCAGCCCACAATGACTGCCCCATCAACAACCCGTCACTTGAATCAACTGGAGACAAGGTAATTAATTCTCAGGATATGTTTCTCTTCCCTCCGTGTCTTCCACATGATGAATATTCGTCAATGATAATCCACCTTAAATAGAACCAAATCCACAGTAGGACAAACGAATGCTCTTAGGAGTTCCTCACACACAAAAATAAACAAACATGAACTGGAAGGTAATGACAAAGCCTTCATCACCAGTAGCCACGATAAGAGAACATACACTTAGGCATAACTTAAGACAAGGAAATACACCCAAGATGCACTCACAAATACATAATTCACTTACAAGACGCATAAAGTACTTTCAGAGTCAAAAGAAAGATTACAAACAAAAACGGAGCTAACGACGGCAACCCTGAAAGACTGAGAGCGAGTAATTTGACATTAAATACACTTGAGACAACAAAGAGATGGATGCCCTTGAAACACACCTGGTGCAGAAGTTCAAGACGTATAAGAGAGGAATAAAACACGAGGGTTAACATGATAAAGAGAAACCTGAGACATTCTGGAGAAAACGATAATACATTTACAAGACATTAATAAATACAAAACAAACATATATTACATTTAAAAAAACATAATAAATTCAAGAAAGAAGTGAAAAAAGGCTAAGAAAAATATGATAAATCTAAAACACATAAAAAACAAAATGAAACAACCAAGAGTATTATCAATCCTCACTACACTATCTATAAACAATCCCAAAACAGTGATAACACAAACATCTTAATATACCATAAAACATTACAACTCTGTGTGTGTGTGTGTGTGTGTGTGTGTGTGTGTGTGTGTGTGTGTCAGCTGTATACAGGGTAACGTCAATACACGTCGGAGTACTCTATAAAAGGCGTTTAACAATATTACAGTTTCCTATCATTTGCAGTACTTTCTCAACGTTAATATTCTTTACTGGGACTACACCCTCAAATCTGTATGACCTTGTTACTTTTTTTCACATACACTTTAGATTGGATAGACTCATTCTAACTATTTAATTATTCGACACAGTTTAAAACATATCTCCCACTAAGGTATCTCCCCTCCACAACAAAACTTTCGCTTCATATACAATCCAGCCTCATCAATTAACAGTACGCCCATTACTATCACCCTCTGGTTACCGTTTCAAAGATTTGTTCATGTTGAGGAGAGAGAAACTGGCCGATAATGTGAGAGGTTGAATTTATCATTTTTTTTTGAGGTTGGATGAATGTGACCAGAGAGGGACGACTGAAGTGTGACGAGGTACTGTGGCGAGATTGGGAAAAGCTCTGCCTCCACCTCTCCCCACCACTTCTTTCTCCTTTTCCTCCATACTACCCCTTATTAATCTTCCTCTCCAATTCCCCTCTCTTCTCTTCCCCCCATTTTCCTTCCACAGTCCCCCTAACCTCATCCTAAATACACACCTCCCCCAACTTCCTCCTCCTCGTTATAGCCCCCTCCCCCCCCCTCCCACCCTCCTCGTGACAGTGAGGGTGATAGAGGCTCCCCCAGCACCCAACACACATTTACCTCACTCTAATCACCCTAATCAAGACAAAGATTTTTTTTTCCCAACTGATGAGAATTTCCACCCACAAACCCACTGACTCACCCGCTCACTCATCCTCACACCCACATACCCATTCACTCACTCACTCATCCTCACACCCACAAATCCAATCACTCCCGCACTCATTCACCCAAACACAATCGCTCAGCCACTCCTAAGACTTACCCACCTACCTAAACACATAATACATCCATCCACCTAATCACTAACTCACCCACTCTGTCATTCGCTTACCTACCTAATGAATCTATCTCTGTCACACACACACACACACACTTGATCAAGCTAGTAAAGAACTGATATGGTGGTAATCTGAGGCCAAGTCATCCTCAATTGGGTCCCACGAAGTTAAAACAAAATAAAAAAGAAGACCAAGTACCACGTGTAGGGTTGACACTGAGAGGCTGGTGACTACGACAGATGGAAGTGAAAGTACCGTACATGGGGGAAGCCTTTACCCAACAATTAATTAACCTAAGGTATATTAATATAAGATTGTGATAATCGTTACGGTACATCAGATATATTGGACTCGTCAGTTGAAATATTATGCCTTTATTGATTAATAGGTGAGGGCGGCGACCATGTTGAGTGACCGTACAACAGTCTGTCTTATAAAACACATTATATATTAATAGGACGGTAATCTATGATAATTTTGTCATAATTTATGTATATTACATGAATAAAATATTATATGCAACATTATATCCATTTAGGATTCATTTCATTACTACTTAATGCTCATGAGATTATCCTGAATTAGTCAATTAGCTTCATTAATAATTTAGGCATTGTCTCGCGCCGTGTAATGTGCAGCTTATTAAAAATAATCATATTAATGTGATACTCACCAGCCTCCACCGTTATGCAACACTGGTCAGGCCAGACTAAAACACCCTGTGTATGTGTGTGTGTGTGTGTGTGTGTGTGTTTCTGTATGTATGTCCATGCATGAACGTATATCTAAGCAGTGATGCATATTAAATAAATAATGACAATAATAAAACTATACGCATCAACGATTAAGACATTTAGGAGTGGCGAGCGTTTAATAAATACATATAAGTACATATATGAACACACAGCTTCACACATCAAACACACAGAGTAGCAGCTGAACACACACACACACACACACACACACACACACACACACACACACACACACACACACATACATACAAGAGTAGAAAAGAATATTAAATCACATTTACCACTTTACAAACACGTGTCAACTTTGTGTCTAAGAGTGAATACATTTGAAAACATTTATACGTTAACATACACACCAGGGGTCATACAAACACATGAATAACAAACATAAAAGAAATCACTAGTAATATTCACTCTTATCTTTATTTAGATTAAGATCATTATCACCACATGAATATTACTGTACTGTACCTGTATTACGTAGGATATTACTGTACCTTAGGATATTACTGTGCCTGTAGTGTATAGTAAAAACTGGACCTCGCACTCACATCTCTCGATATCTAAGTCACAAATATCAGTGGTTCATGAGCGAAAAATCCACGTGAGTGAGTGAGGTATACAAGGTGTGGATGGTATAGGTTCATAATCAGAGACGCCCCTCCCTCTACACTACAGGTAACGCTGCCTCAATAAACAGGGGACCCCGCGCACCTGGGCTAATCCACTCCTCATTATCATTCTCGGATCATCCCGTCCAGCCGTAGTAAACACGGACCCTCTCACAATTAATAATGAAGCTCTCACAGTTAACACGGACGCCTTAACAGTTAATAATGAAGCTCTGACAGTTAACACGGACCCTCTCACAGTTAATAATGAAGCTCTCACAGTTAACACGAACTCCTTAACAGTTAATAATGAAGATCTAACAATTAACAGGCACCCCTTAACAGTTAATAATGAAGATCTAATAGTTAACACGGACCCTCTCACAGTTAATAATGAAGCTCTCACAGTTAACACGAACTCCTTAACAGTTAATAATGAAGATCTAACAATTAACAGGCACCCCTTAACAGTTAATAATGAAGATCTAACAGTTAACACGCACGCCTAACCGTCAACAAGGAAGATCTAACAGTTAA